AGGACATTATTGAATGTCTTAAAATGGGGACTGGTATAATCAGACGTGTGTTTTGCAAAGATTACAGTTCATCGATACAGATACGGAGGATGGGTTGGAAAAGGGCAAGATGGAGAATGGATGACCTGCTAGACGTTTATGGTCAGGACCCAAATGTAGCAATGACAGCAGAAGCAGTGAAGGTGGAAAAAAGAGGGCAAATAGAAGGTTGGTTTGGGATATGCAGGGACAGGTGACCAGTTAAACAGCAATAATAGAGGGAAACATCAGGATCTTTTCTTTTCCCTATAGGCCAACAGTTTTCTAGGAGCTCAGAAACCTTTCTCCTCTTGCAAAAGTTTTGCAGCTCTGATAGAGAACAGCAAAATATTCCAGAAAGTAGAGTCATGGCTTGTGATGAACAAAATGCAGCAGATGTATTTGTAAGTGCTTTATGAAGCCCATCCAGAGATTTATTGTGCCAAGCCCTGCACTCTCTCTTCTGCATGAAAGCTGGTTATAATTATGGATTGACTTATTTTCTACTATACCACTTTCTTTTTGAAATGTCTGTCTTTTTTAGGCCAGCCCATAGCCTAGTGGTTAAGACAGCTTGATCCCATATGGCTGACCCCATGGTTTGAGTCCTGGACCCGGCGACTTGAAAAGCACACTAGACACATGTGGTCGCCTGTCCAAAATCCTGAAAGGAGGGCGAGATGGAAGAGAAGGGATAGCAGCATGACCATACCCCATGGGGGGCAGGGTTGGGGACAGCGTTCTCTCACTTCCTCATTCTCTCTCTCTTTGGCAAACACATGCACCCTTGGGTAAAATTTAAAAATATATATCTCTTCCTTTCAGCCACAGATTCAGTTCACATCCTCAGGCGTTGGTTATCACAATGGCCACCTGGTTAGTCTTTACGACTCTCAATCTCCCCTTTCCAACATGTCCTCAAGATGCTCCTCCTTTCTAATCACGTCGAAGTGAAACTCTTCTCCTGGGCTTTAAAGGCCCTCCACATGCAGCAGATGTATTTGTAAGTGCTTTATGAAGCCCATCCAGAGATTTATTGTGCCAAGCCCTGCACTCTCTCTTCTGCATGAAAGCTGGTTATAATTATGGATTGACTTATTTTCTACTATACCACTTTCTTTTTGAAATGTCTGTCTTTTTTAGGCCAGCCCATAGCCTAGTGGTTAAGACAGCTTGATCCCATATGGCTGACCCCATGGTTTGAGTCCTGGACCCGGCGACTTGAAAAGCACACTAGACACATGTGGTCGCCTGTCCAAAATCCTGAAAGGAGGGCGAGATGGAAGAGAAGGGATAGCAGCATGACCATACCCCATGGGGGGCAGGGTTGGGGACAGCGTTCTCTCACTTCCTCATTCTCTCTCTCTTTGGCAAACACATGCACCCTTGGGTAAAATTTAAAAATATATATCTCTTCCTTTCAGCCACAGATTCAGTTCACATCCTCAGGCGTTGGTTATCACAATGGCCACCTGGTTAGTCTTTACGACTCTCAATCTCCCCTTTCCAACATGTCCTCAAGATGCTCCTCCTTTCTAATCACGTCGAAGTGAAACTCTTCTCCTGGGCTTTAAAGGCCCTCCACAATCTGGCACCAATCCTCTCTGTGGACTATATCCCTAACTGCAGCCTGCTTTGTACCCTATGCTCTTTCTAGCCTGGGCTCCTCAAAGTTCATTTTTGTCTTTAAGATGTGGCTCTGTCTGGAATGCCATACTTTGACCCCTGGTGCTTGGAGAAGGCTGCTTTCTCCTTGAAGCTCTCTGTTTATTTTGGCCTCATCGTTCCTAAAGCCTTTGGTGGTCTCTGCTGAATGGACCACAGGAAGAGTCCAGAAAGCCTTAAAGTGCCTACCAAATATGGGAGTGGCCAGTTCTTTTCTGCTTAAACTGCAGTCACTGCAGTAGGGGGCTTTTAGTGGAACCAAATCCTTGTCATGGTCATGGTGACTGGAATGGGTAAACATTGCATATGTCAGAGGCAACTACATTCAAGCTGTGTCATCTCTGAGATAACTTATCACAGACTTGACCCCAGTGACATGTTTCATATACTGGTCAGGTTTTGTTGTTTTGGTTAGTCTTTTAAAGTTGTTTTTGTTTTTTGTTTTGCCATAGGGCACAGGCACTCACCAGAAAGAGAGACAGAGAGAGGAAAAGCGAGACATTACCCCCCTGGGAGATGGCCACACCGCAATCCCTTCTTCTCCATTCTTTTGGGACTTCGGGCACAGGCACATACGTGCCTGGTGTGATTTTCAAGTTGCTGGGTCCAGGACTGAAACTGTAGTCAGTTATGTGGATGTCCAAATCTAGTGCCTTAACCACCAAACCACCTGCTGGCCCAGTCAGTCCTCTTTTGGGGAAGAGTAAAATGTTAGACGAACAGTCATTTGTATTCAGGTTGCTATCATGAGAAATGTCACATTGTTAATTCTCTGTGTAGCCACTACATTTACCAGTGAAGAAGGAAAACCAGATCCAGGCACTTTGTATGGCTGGTGAAATAACTCCCTCTGATACCCCAGAATCCAGCATATTTGCGTTACTAATCTCTATCACTAAAGGAAGTCTGTGCGTGTCTTATACTAAATTGAGCAGGTTTTTTTTTTTTTTTTTTTAGCTTTTCTTTCATGGGCTTTAGGCATCGTCCCAAGAAGACTTCAGAGGTACTCAAATGGAAAGCACATGGGTAACTGCAGGCAAGATCAGTTGGCTGCTTTTCAAGAGGAGGCTCCACAGGATGGATTATCTTGCTGAATTTATCGCAGCCTATGATTTGGCTCTCTGCCCTGTAGATGCAGAAACTGGATTGTATAAGCAGAACACAGATCTATTTGTCATTAGCTGTTCACATTAATCAACCCACAAAGACGCATAGAAAAAGCCAGAGCACCTGTGTGTTAGTGACTGTCCCAAGGACCGGAATACTTGCTAGGAACATGAAATCTGAGTCAGGGTAGGAGTAATGTGTCATAACGTCCATGGGAGGGAGATGGTAAGTAGTCGTGGTGCCAGGGACTCTGCATGAACTGCAGCTGGCACTGCTGGGCATCTGTAGTGAACACCATCATGGTGGGTATTTGTTCTAGATGTGACGGTCTCTTGTCACCTCAGTGTTAGCAGTAGGTGATCTATAATGGAAAAATATCCATTCCACAGAGCAGGTGCTTATATCTGTGAGCAAGGCACACTCTCCACTGGATGATGACGATACATCATATTTAAGCTGACTGATTGATTGGATATGGCTTATGAGGTAGAAGGAGGAGTCAAGAATGATCCCTCCCCCAAGCTACTTTATGACTCAAGTAACTGGATATATATTGGAGCCACACTATTATTATCTAGAGATAAGGAACACTGGACCACGAGCAGAGTTTGGTCTATGTTGAGTGACATAGAGATGCCTTTGAAACATCCGGGTGGAGGCGTCCTGGAGGGAGGCCCATAGTCAGTTCTGTTAATCAGAAGTGTGATCTGTGCTAGATACAAATTTGCCATTTGTCCATAAGTTTACAGAGAGAACTAATGATGTAGAGAACAAAGAGTAGGGAGCCTAGGACAGAATTCTGAAGAATACCCACATTAAATGGTTGGGTGGAAGATGAGAAGCTGACCAAAAAGAAGATAACAAACAAACAAACAAACAAAAAAGAAGTAGAAAGAAAAATCAGGACTGTGCTAAGATGGAAACAAAGACCAGAGATCAAAGAAAGGTGTGTAGATGCTTCCTGAATGGTGACTTTCCAACTTCCAAGTAACAAAGCCTGTGGCAGTACCCAGAGTTAATTGTCTCAGAGTTAGCAAGATTCTACCAGGAGTAGACATGGTCACTGGAAGCACTGTGCCCTCTTAAAACCTTTAAGGAGACTTAAAAAGAAAAAGGCCTCTGCTTCATGCTGCATCTTCCCTGCCACTAACGGAGGCACTTCTTTTGGCCTGGGTTTATGTGCCATTTGCTACACTATAAATAAGTGGATGAGGAACTTAACTGACTCAATGACAAAAGAATTAAATAGAGATCTTGTTATTTAGCAATGTACTGGTCTTTGGTGACCTCATGGAACAGTTGCAACATATTAGTGGGGGTGGAATAATGAGAGTAGGCTGAGGAACCAAAAGCTTGCTCCTAGAAGAAATGTGTGTGTGTGTGTGTGTGTGTGAGAGAGAGAGAGAGAGAGAGAGAGAGAGAGAGAGAAAGAGAAAGTATATATTATAAACAATCGGATCAGAATATTGCAAAATAACCTTTAAAGATGTTATTTATACTCAGCTTTAAGAATTTTACTTTAGAATTCTAGTTTGAGTCTTCTTTCCAAGAGCCAATAGTGATGGCTTTAAAAGTTAAACCTGGAGGGCCAGTAGGTGGTGTGGAGGCTAAGACACTGGATCGGATCCCCTGTGGCTGACTGCAGGGTTTGATTCTAGTCCCAGTGGCATGAAAATCACACCAGGCACATGTACATGTTTGCACAGAATCCCTAGAGGAGACTGGAAGAGAAGGGATTGTAGGATTGTGGTATCACACCCTGAGGGGTGATTTCTCTCTCTCTTTCTCTCCCAGACATGCACACTATAGGGGAAAAAAAGTTAAGCTTGAAAATACTACACTGTGTCTGGGAATGTTTGATGCCCAAGGACCATGACTCGAAACATTGAAACATTGAGGTCAGAGGAATGCTGGTGCCATTCCTTGAAAGCTAGTAGCTGTAAATGTCCTGTCCAGATTAAACTAAACTCAAAGCTCAAAATTGAGAAATCTTAAACGTGCATTTAGGATAAAATCTGACCTCAGTCTGCAGAATAGAACTCAAATAAAACTAAGGGACTGTTGTGCTGCTCTCAGCCACATACTCAACTCCTACTGCTGTCTAAAGGCATCATTCTTGGATTAGACCAGCATAAAAGGATACAAAGCATGCCACCCTTTTGCACAATCTTTGGGGACAAATTAACTATGAAAAATTCCCAGAGATGTGTGATTCATGAAGGACCAAGTAAAGAGAAAAATTCAGATGCTTTCATGAACAGCAGGGTAGTGGGTATTTTTTCTCTTGTGGTATAAGGAGTTGGGAAGGAAGAAGAGATTCTCTTTAAACAGTCATCCCCATATGCACAGGCTCATCACAATTTAAAACAGCTCTTCAGATGTCGGATTCTCTTTCTTCTAAGCTCGATAGTTAGCACAGCTGTTTTTATTTGTTTTAAGACAAGATCAAGTCATGTCATGATCCTCCTGCTTTAGCTTCCAAGCTGTAGGGTTTTTAGGCAGATTGGACTGGGATTGAACTCTGGTCTCCCGTGTGATACCAGCCTGCAAAGCAGCAGCATTTTAGCAATGTACACTACCATAGCTTTGCCATGCACCACTGTCTTTAACCTACTTTCCAAAGGATAAGGGACCAGCATACCAGAATGTAGTAGCTACTGCAGAATGCAATGACCCTGAAGTTGCAATTGCTACTAACTTCTTTTCTTCTTACACAATTTTCATTTGTTCCTGACAACCAGGCAAATAATAATCTGTGCCGAAAACTTGGAAGGCTCGCCAAAGGAATCTGTCTGCTTCAGTTTTCTTTTTCTGAAATCCCCTCTACTGGGACTGTGTTACTAATGGGACCTGACCATAATTCCACAGGTTAGAAGACCACAGGTTTTGGCTTCAAATAGATTTGGTTTCAAATTCTGGCTCTGCCACTTGCCAACTGTGTGAGCATTTTGCTTTGTCCACTGATTCCTGCTTCCTTGTCTGTATAATGGGCATGAATAGGGTTATTATGATAATTAATTCATGGAAAAGCCTCAACACAGTACCTGACATAGAGAAGGAAAAAACTATTCAGTTAACTATTAAAATGTTGCTATGGTTGGAGTCAGCTCTGGAGCCTAGTGGTTGAGGTGAGCTGGATTCCAGAATGCCAGCCATAGTTCAAATCCTGGGCTCAGTGGCTTAGAAGACACTCTGGGTGCATGTACGTGCATGCCTAAAATCTCTAATATATATATATATATATTGCTATGGTTTTAATGTGTCTTCCAAAGTTCATGTGTTAGAATCTTAAACCCCAATACATGAGTGTTGCAGAGTGAGACTTTAGGAGTTGACTAGGTCCTGAGGGCTCTGCTTTCATGAGTATATTAATGTTATCAGGGGGGTCTGTTAGATATGGCAGGAGTGTATTAGTTACTGTGAGAGTGGGTTCTTGATAAAAAGTAAAGTTTGCCCCTTTTCCCTTCTCTTATGCATGCTCATGCATGCTCTTTTGCCCTTCTGCCTTCTGCTATGGGCAGGAGTGTGTTAGTTACCATGAGTGGGTTCTTGATGAAGGGTAAGTTTGCTCATCTCTCCTCTCTTATGCATGCACGCACATGTTCTTTTGCCCCCTGCCTTCTGCTATGGATGATGCAGCAAGGAAGCCCCCGTCAGATGTCGAACGAATGCCTGCCCCATACTCATATGTTTGCTGGCCTCCAGAAGGGTAAGGCAAATACATTTTTTTTTCTTTGTAAAGTACCCAGTCTGTGATACTCTGTTAAAGCAACACAATATGGATCAAGACTGTTATATTAAAAGGACTTGAAAACGTTACTATAAATTTAACGTAAATGGCAATAATATTTTAAGTGAAAAATGATCAAAATCATAGGTTTCATTAATGAGCCTTATCTATAGTGCAAATTCTTTTCTAAAATGTAAAGGGCCTTTAAAGAAACCTTGATAATGATTTCTGAAAAGATAGGGATGAAGCCCCTCTTTAATAAGAGTTCTTTATCACTACAAAACTAACCTGAGAAAACTTTGTCCAAAAATTGTCACATTAATTGTAAGAACTCAGACTAAGACAACATGCCTCCTCTTCCCCAATTCCACTTTGCATACATAATGTTTATGAAATTTAATAAAACAATTTAAGCTTCAATGTGCTGTGATAAAAGATACTTTAAAACCCAGTATGGAAATAAATAAGCTTTAAAAATTTAGGTCATCATATAAATGAAGAAAATCCTTAACACAAAAATTTTTTAAATAGAAATTTTATTTTTAGAGAAGAGGAAAAAACAAAACAAAAAAGCAGTTATGAAATAAATAAAATAGAATAAATTTAGTTAACTATACCAGATACTTAATTTTCTTTTATTACTTATAAAATTCAACTGCTTGTATCCAATTCCCTTTAATGTGGTTATCTTTGACTAGAAATGTACAATTCTCTTTTCATTTATCTCTCCATTTAACAAATATTTATGAAAACCTACACTAAAGCATGATTTTCTTTCTTCTTAGGTTTTTGCCATAGGTTGTTTTTGCTTGCCAGAGAGAGGGCAAGGGAAAGAGAGATATCACCCCCGAGTGAGATGGCCATGCTGCAATCCCTTCTCCTCCATTCTCATCTCAAATTTTGGATAGACACAATAAGCACCCACCCATGTGATTTTCAAGCCTCTGGTTTCCAGGTTTGAACTATGGTGGGCCATGTGGGAGTCCAGGGTCTTAGCCACTGCATCACCTGCTGGTCCCTAAAGCATGGTTTTCATGGTGAGCTAACACAATTTGTTTAATAGTAAAACATCTCTATGACACTGGAATATCTCCATATACTGAAAAAAAATTTATGCTTAAATAATTTTTTAGTATTGTAATTCATTACGGCCTTCCAAAAGGCAG